TATCTTTGATTACAAGGAAAGTGAACTAATGTTAATATATATGTTTTCAGAGATATATCATGCACATATTGGTACCTGGTACCAGGACATCTAAGAATGTAAAAGTTACAGATATAAAAAATCACACCAATTTTACAGAAGGTCCCTTGTCTTGTATTTTGCTTCAGAAAAATCTAAACTCCCTTATTCTTTATTCCTGCTCCAGACCTCGAGGTTTTCTGCATTGCCCAAATACAACACTTCCACTTCCCTTCCCATTTCTCATCTGCATGGTTCTTCCATTTGCTCTCAGAATTATGGGCATAGGCTTAGGATTCAAGAATAGCACAAGCTCATTCAGCATAAAGTGTTTCAGAATTCATGACAGTTTGAACACGTATTGGGTTGCATGGAATTCTCCTCTCCCCCCTCCAAAAAATGTCTACCTGGAACTTCAGTAGGTAACCTTATTTGGAAATAAAGTCTTTGCAGGTGTAATTAGTTAAATTAAGATGCAGTCATGCTGGATTAGGGTGAGTTACAACCCACTGCTGTGTCTTTATAAGAAGAGCAGACAGACAGGCACATGCACAGCAGAAGCCACGTGAAGACTGGGGGCAAAGGCTGCAGCGATGTAGCCATAAGCCCACGAATGCCACGTGTTGCTGGCAACCACCAGTAGTCAGCAGATTCAAGGAAGCATTCTTCCCGAGAGCCTTTGGAGAGAGCATGGCCTTGCTGATGCCTTGATGTCATATTTCTAGCCTCTAGAACCGTGAGACAATACATTTTTGTTTTAAGCCACTCACTCAGTCTGTGGTAGTTTCTTATGGCAGCCCTAGAACACAGATACAGAACTTGAGAATGACAATTTGAATCTATGATGGGAGTTTACTCCAGGTGAAATTTGAGAAATGAGCCTAGACATCATATGGTTAAAATTACACCAAAGTAGGGGCACCTGGGTGGCTTCATTGGTTAAGCACCCGACTCTTCATTTTGGCTCATGTCATTATCTCAGGGTTGTGAGATCGAGCCCCGCGTAGAGCTTCGCACTGGGCGTGGAAGCCAGCTTAAGATGCTCTCTCTGCCATTCCCCCCCCGCCCATTTGCTTCTAGTTAAATAATAAAGTTTTTTAACTAGAAGCAAATCCAGGTATTGTTTTTTTTTTTTTTAAAGATTTTATTTATTTATTTGAGAGAGAGAATGAGATAGAGAGCATGAGAGGGGGGAGGGTCAGAGAGAGAAGCAGACTCCCTGCTGAGCAGGGAGCCCGACGTGGGACTCGATCCTGGGGCTCCAGGATCATGACCTGAGCCGAAGGCAGTCGCTTAACCAACTGAGCCACGCAGGCGCCCCAGCAAATCCAGGTATTGTTCAGTTAGTTGTATTAATTGAGATTTTTGAGATAATGTGATTTTTTTTGTTTCTGGGCTCTGGTCTGTGGGGTGGTGCAGGAAGAAATGGGGTTATGTCATTCTTTCTCAAAACAGGAATGGAAAATTTGGACCAAAAAAACCCAATCGCTTAAATACCACAACAAATTGTGAAACATGTAGTCAGTTTCACAAATCTTTACCCGTAATTTGCTGAAGTTAAATTAGGAAGAAGGCAAGGGCAAATGTATTAAAATTTTGGTTTATAGGAAGTGGTTAAAAATGTGAAAAAACATGCATGTCTCTATACAGTTGGGGGAAAATCTTTCTTAGTAGTCTCAAAATTTGCATCTTGAGTCATTGGAGAAGGCGATTTTATATTTATATTTACCTTTTGGAGTTTTTTTTTTGAAGGGAGGTAAATGATATGTTTATGTTTGTTACCTGACCAATGAACAGTTTCTCCACCCTAAGTTTTGCTGCCAAAGTGATTTATTTAATGATGGGTAAGCTTTTTGTATCAGTTGGGGTTCCTATTTGGAAGCTGCAGAAGTGATCCTGACAGGGGAATTTGCTGGAAGGATATTAGTGGGGAGGAGAATGCTCATGAGAAGGGGGCAGGCTGTAGGTAGGGGTGCTGTTTAAAGAGTCAGGGGGCATAGAAAGCTGTCCCCAGCCAGAACGACCTGGGCAGAGAGCCACTGCTACTCACACTTTAGCAGCCAGGTATGACCTGCAAGTGTGCTCTATCTTTTGATCCCCATCAGAATGGGAGTCAGTCAGTCACCACCATACAGTACATCATTAGTTTTTGATGCAGTGTTCCATGATTCACTGTTTGCATATAACACCCAGTGCTCCATGCAATACGTGCCTAACATAACATAAAAAAAAAAAAAAAAAAGGATGGGAGTCAGTGTGTGGAGTTGGCTTCTGATTGGCTGAGCTCAAATCACAAGCTTTGTCTCAGCTATAGCTGGTAGAGGAAGTGTTCCTCTCTTCCTTCACAGTGGGAAGCAGAAAGTTGGCTATATTAATTTTCTAGCGTGACGGTAACAAAGTACCACAGACTAGGTGGCCTAAACAACACAAATGTATTTCCTCGCAGCTGTAGAGGCTAGAAGTCCATCCATGTGTCAGTTGGGTTGGTTCCTTCTGAGGGCTGTGAGGGAGGGATCTCTGGCATGTAGCTGGTCATACTTTCCTGATGTCTTCACAACGTCTTTCTGCTGTACCTGTCAGGGTCTAAATGTTCTCTCCTTACAAAGACACCAGTCACATAGGATTAGGGCCCACCCTCGTGACCTCATTTTAATGTACACCTTTAAAGACTCTATCTCCAAAGATGGTTATGTTCTGAAGAACTAGGGATTAAGACTTCAACATATGAATTTTGGTGGAGGGGGGACACAGTTTAGGCCATAATACTGGTGTTTCTCTTCCATTGACATTAACACAGTACAATGTACAGGAGAGGTGACTCTCCCAGAATAGAGATTGGGGTGCTCCTACAAAGAGGGATAGATTCTGGGCAGGTAAAAACGATAAATCTCATTCTACATTTTTGTGTCCCCATAACTATGAAGTTAAAAACAATCTTTTTAATGATATGTACAGAAAACTTGAAAATCTAAAAAAAAACCAACCACATATCATAATATTCAGAGTTGGTAAAGGTGCAAAAAAAGAAAAAAAATGAACATGCTCTCTCTGCCGGTGGGAATACAGGCTTGTATCCACCTTCTTATCATTCTACTTTTATGTACTGCTAAAGTAGAGTTGTGCCACTTAAATCTCTCTTCAAGAAGGAATTTGCTATTCAGCTGCAAGGGGAGTGCAGTTAGACCATTTCCTGCCGTTACGCCTTCAGGATCCAGCTCCGCTTTTCAGCCAGGGCTGTGCACTTTTTGGAAACCCCCTGATAACTGAGCACAACAGGTGTACTAGGGCCTGGCTATTCCTGTCCAACACTGGCCTCCTCGAACAGGCAATCTTTGCTCTGGAGCAGCCGTTTTAGTTTGTGTGAAACTTGGTCAGATCTACATGGTGATCTGAGCTTTGCCCACCTGCCCGGTCCTGCATCCTCCTTTCATCTGTCATAGCCTTATCCTGCCCCAGGCTTTCTGTGCTCCTAATTTCATCTCTGTCTGCATCCCAGAGGGTCCAACTCACACACATAACAGCCACACACACACAGCACATATATTTAGTCATATTTTTGTTTTCTTGCTGTTCTCATGTTTCTTTGTAGGTCTTTGTTATTCCAGTCATGGATTTGCAAACCAGTGTACTTTTCGGTGCTGAAAACTCTGTGGTTTTAATGTATTATCATTTGTTTCCTCTTTTACCATCTTATCTTTAATGACAGCATGAAAATTTTGTTGTATGTTTTTCTGAAATCAGCTAAGCTGTATTATTGGCCATTCACTATCTTCAAGCTTAATTTGGGACTACTTAATCCAGTGACTCATTTAAGGCCTAGATAGAAACTATGGGAGAGAGACGGACACAGACAGACTGGGAGACCAGAGAGATGTCTCCCTCTGAGTACTTGTACAGCAGAGCATAAAACTGAGTGGCTAGTGGTGACCATGGCCTGTCCTGTGAACTTATGGGCAGAGGAAGGTCTGCAGTTAGAAAGAAGAATCAAGCAGATAAACAGGAAAACAGATTGGAAGAGAGAGGACCTGTTCTGGTTCCCTACAAAATCGTCTGGGTCAGAAGGACACCCTGTTCCCAGCTCCATTCCTGAGTCTTCCCTCTAGGTGTGGTGCCACTCTTTAGAGGCTTTCTAATGAATTCCCTTGACTTTCATGTATTAGTTTAGATTGGGTTGCCATGATTTGCAACTCAGGATGTTATCACTATCACACCACATAAGCACTCTGTATAGCATAGAAGGCTTTCAAAAAAGTTTAGCAAAATCTGCATCTTGTTACATTTTTTTAGGTGATTTTTTTTTTTTTTTGCTGTTTCTTCTCAGTGGTCACAAATCCTCTTTTATTGTTTGAATTTATTGTCTTGAGCTGTAGATATATGGTAATGCTAAGCACAGTCTTCTGCAACCTGTTGTCACTTATAAAATATTACTTAGAAAAAACAAAGCAGGGAGAGACAGAAGGAAGGAGGGACAGAGAGGGAGTGGGTGACTTTACTATTGGACTAAAGGAAAGATTTTCCTCTTCACTAAAGAATCAGATTTTAGATAAAGGATTTTTGTTTACATGAGGAGTCCAATTCCCAGTTCCTTTGTTGGGCCAAGGTTTTAGGCTTACTGTGGGCAAGGGAACTAGACAGAAACAGCTCCCTTGACTGAAAGCTGAATCTGGACATACACCAGCAGAGAAGTTGTCACCAGTTTGAATTACCCGAGTAAAAGGGTGGGGATCTTTATTTGGATGAGATTCCCTAGATCACCTGGGAACATGGATTTCCTCCGTATGTATCCCAAAATGGGCTGTAATATTCCACAAAGAGTACTGGAGGTAAAAATTCAATTAAAATTGGTAGACATGGATGAATCCCTTCTTAAAAATGATCTCATGATTCAAATATACTGAATAATCCCTCCTTCCTTAGCCCATATCACGCTGGGTTTTCTTTTCACCAAGAAACGGCCTTTATTTTTGCCCTACTTTTTCCAGATGTCTCAAACTCCTATGCTAATCTAGAGCCTTCAGAATGTTCCCCAAGGGCAGGCCTCATCTTGCATCTGGACTAAAGAATTGACTGGAAACCCATGCTCTGACCATGTGTCTTGGAGTCACCTTCCAAGTTCTCTGAGGTAATTCCTCTCCTTGGCAGCCATGTCTTATCTTTTTTAATCTTGTCACTGTCTGGAACAGGGCACTGGGGTCCTGAAACTTGTTCTCCTTATCATTTTGTTGCCATTTGGAAATGAGTGAGCTCTGCTTTTCTGTCTTATCCAGCTGTTGTTATTGATTATTCCAGACTTCTTCTTTGATCCTGGAATCTGTGACTGGAAAATGTAAGACTACAGAGAATACAAGCCAGTGGTGTTTTCCAAATGTGTGTGCAGACTCTGTTTCATCTATGAATTCATGATGATGGTGCCCACAAGGGCCAGAAGGATCTTCATTATCTCCAAACCCTTTTAACAGCTGATAAAACCCAGATTTTAGAAGGCAGGGTTTTTCATGTATAGCCTACGCAGCTCATACTCAAGGGCCCCATGAGATTTCTGGTGGTGTTATCTCTCAGCTATCATATTGAAGGTGCATGGTGAATCCTGTCACTTGGACATCAATAGAAAAATGTGCACTTGACTAGCCTCTTAAGTGTAATGTCTAAGATAAGATAATTACAAGCAAACCTTACTGATTCTTGGTTACCTATTAATGGAAGAGAACAAGTAGATGGGCTTATTTTGGAAAAAAGTGAATAATGCATCATCCTGCAGTGCCAATAGCTCACAAGCAATGGGAAACAGTGGTGGACACTGGGCTTTGGAGATCTTTCCCCCTGGCTTTCAGTTCCAGTTCTGACCCTTTCTGATTGCTTGATTATTGCTCCATTACACTGGCAATTGTCATACCTATTTCACAATGTTTTTGCTGGAATTAAATGTGATAATACTTATAATTTTAACATATTTATAGATTATGTTATTTATAAAGTATGTATCATAATGTTTGGTACCTCATAGAGGCTAATTTATTCATAAAAGCTTTTTGAGCACTTTCTATATACAGGTGTTAAGTGCTGGGGATAAGAGGAGAGAGAAGTAAAAATTCTTGCCTTCAAGAAGGTTGTGGTCTAATTGAAGAGACAGGTCTATACATAGACATTTGAATGCAATGTGGTAAAGGCAATTACACGGAGAGGCATAAAAAAGTATAGAAACAGAGGAGACACATAATAAACCCGGAGATGGAGGTGGGATAGGGGAAGGCTCTGGGAATAGATGCCTGAGCTGAGAATGAACCAGAAAATAATAAATAAAGATATGCAATGCATACATTTTCAAGATAATGTGACATTCAATATATGTGAGGTTTCCTTAATTTTTCTTTTCTTTAATTCACATTGAATTGCCAACATTTTTCATATTTTTGGTCATTTATTGGTAATTCCAGGACTCAATTTGTTGGTGTTAGGGAAGGAGGAACCAAATTTATGAACCACTGTGGGTTTATTATTGCAAATTAAAATTCCTCAGGTTCGTCTTTAAAAGATTGACCACTAAAAGACTAAGAATAAAAAAATAAGACTAGAAAGACATTAAAAGTGGGAAATACTGGGTGTTATAAAATTAGATACTGAGAAGTATAAACTGGAGGGAAAATTAAGGCAGTAAATATTACTGGTGTGTCCACATGTTTTAAATCTTGCTTTCCTGAGGTGGAGGCTGCCTAGCAACAGAACCTCCCTGAGGCCCTGTTCTCCACAGCTGGTCAGCCCTTCAGGGTCTGAAGTTGCTGAGATCAGGGGTTATAGCTTAGGAAAGCCTCAGCTTAGAGTAGTTTAGGGGTCAGGATGCTGTCTCTTAAAGTCCTGGGACAGCAGGACCAAGGAGACTGAAGGCAGAGCTCTGGGAATTGGTTAATAACATGCAGCTTTGCTGCCAGTTAAGTAGATTTTTGTGGACTGGCCTTGGAGCTTTACCATCCTTTATAACTTTTGCTAGTGGGTAAATTTATTTGAACTACCAACAGGGCATTGAGAACACAACTCAACCATAAGATAAACTTAACTACGTCTTTTTCAGGCCATGAAGTGAATCTACGGAAGTCTGGAGTCTGTACCTAAAATGCGTAAGTGCCATTTAATGATTGTTTATTCATTTTTGTACCCTGTTGCTAATACACTTCCTGAGTATAGCATCTTTAGAATCCTTTCAATGCCTTTTCAATGAACAGTTTGGTTGAATAACAAATCAAGTAGCATTTATGAGATTAAGTATACAGGGCACTTTGCTGAGTAGGTTTATCAAATAAATCTCTGAATTTCATGATGCTTAGGCTGCAATCTCTTTCCAAGAACAAACCAACACTTGGGCCAGGCCTTCAGGAAATCTAAACATCTGGATTTATAAAAATGGCAGGAACAATCAATCATCCAATTTTTCAACATGATGCCAAAGACCTAGATTATTGGAAAGGTTTCCCATCAGATGTTATACAGTCTGTGGATGTATCTAGAATTGGGACTACAAACACAGACCACAGAATAAAATGCACCAACAGTTTTGCATTTGAGTCTGCATGCATTTTGCTTTTTTAGTTGGGACAAGAAGAAAGGATGTTCAGATTTTGTGGAGATGATGGAGGTTTTCTCCTGTAAGATAATCATTTCAGAATGAGAAAGGAATATTTAGATAGTTGGGAACACACTAGGTGCTAGGAGAAAGCTACATAAGATTTTGGCTAACTCTGCGGTGTAGACTACTTATCTGGGATTGTGCAAACTGAGAAACACTTAGTCGTTTTGTGTAAAACAAATTGAATTTTTTGTATTATTATAGTTAAAAAAGCTCTTCTTTGAGTTTTAGAATAAACTTGTGTTGCTTTTATAGTAAAGAAGAATAAATTTTAAGTGTTAATAGCTACTATTTATTGAGCACTTACTAAGTGGTTGGCACTAAAGAAATTTCTGTACTAAACCCAGTAAAGTAGGTACTGTTACTAGCCTTCTTTTGAAGCCTAGAACACTGAGGCTTCGAGAAGTTCTATAATTGACTCAAGACTTCCCCATCCATAAGTGGCAGAGTTGGGTTTGAGGTCAGGCAGTTCATCTCTAGAACCTGCCACCTGTCTTATTCCCTCAGCCAGGCTCTCTCTGTTGTAATATCCCTACTCTGGGGATCTGCAGCAAATCCAAAGTAGGTCAACAGTCTTCAATAAAACAACACTGGCGACAGTAATAGCAATAATAGTAATGACTAATAAATAGTGAGGACTTAATATATTGATTTTATTTTTATCTCTAATTTTCAGAACTCTTGCTCTGTTGATACATGGTACAGATAAGGAGGCCGCAATATGCAGAGATTGAGTAATGACCAATATCACCAGGCTCTTCAGTGATGGAGCTAGTACTGACCAGGTGAGTAAAATAAAATGAAACAATTATGCTTTTCATTGTGTCAGATTGAAAATCATGGAAGTAATATTTCTCCTTCTATAATTAAATAGAATATTCTTATATTATCAAATTACAAGATTATTTTATGCAGTTTGAATAAAAGTGAAGGGTCTCATTGGTGAGGAAAAATGGAATGTTTCAATGGGAAAAACACTGGATAAAGAATATATAAAATGGATACGTGAAAAGCAATAAGGGGGGATAGTCAACTGTGGCAAATATTTCATTCCAATATAAAACAGTAAAATTGATTCAAAGGAAATTGATAAGAATAAAATAAATTTAAATTTGAGATGTTAATCTTTAAACACTGACTTTCAAAATAATGCCAACTAAATCATTTGCTACTGATGTCAGAAAACTCAGGTATTTGGGGGAAATGTCATTTAAAAATTATGCTTCTACCACATACTGGTTATGAATTATTCAATAAATGTGTGGGGGTGATATTGTTTACAGCACATTTCCTGCCAACTTCTGTTTTTCACTAAATTTTTTTTAAAACTTGAGGCAGCTTCATAAAGTAATTGGTAATAGAAACAGATGGCACTTTTTTGACCCTTTATTTTAGCTTCTAGGCATTTGCAATCAGTTATATGCAAGATACGGGGCAGACAATATGCATTAAAATTAGCCCCATCTTTTTTAGCTGCCAAAGAGTAGACTTGGTCGTAAAATTTGAGAGTGAAGAACCTCAATCATCTAGTCTGATTCTCAGATTTTATAGGTGAGAAAATCCTTGAGGTGAAATGACCAGCTCAAGGTCACAGAAGAAGTAAAGGCAACCAGATCTCAGCCACTTGACTTAGTGTCAGAGATTCCTTGCTCCCACTCCCAGTAGCAAGGCTAAGCTTTCCATGTGGGGAGCTGGGAATGTTTATATATTACATAAAATTAGGAAAACTTTTAAGCATCCTGAAAATAAACAAGAATAATATAACTCTGGAATACCTTCCCACCCAGTTCTGTTAATAGTTAAAAAATTGCCATATTGGCATCACCTTTAAAAAAAACAAAAACATCATGACAGAGTTTAAGTCTTCTTTTATAGATCAGAATTGCTATATTCAATTTACACTGAAATGATAGCATATTAGCTGTGGATTCATTTGTAACTCTAAGTCAATTACATAAATACTCTCAATATCCTGAAAATAATAACAACAATAATAACAATAATAATATTATTATTATTACTGATAACAGTAACAAGTAGCCATCATTGTTCTGCTTACTGTATGACAAGCACTTATTTGCATGCATTGTATTATTATCTTTGTTTATTTATTTATTTGTTTATTTATTTATTTAGAGAGGGAGAGGGAGGGGGGAGGGATAGAGGGAGAGGGAGGGAAAGAATCCAAAGCAGGTTCCACACCCTGCTTGCCCACTCATGCTCTCTCACTAAATAGATAAATAAAATCTTAAAAAAAAAAAATCAGATGCTTAACTGACTGAGCCACCCAGGCGCCCCATGAATTGTATTATTTTATATAAAATCACATTTTGTTATTGTCCTAGAGTTCAACTCCTTTTCTTCTAGACAAAATTATTTCTCTTTTGTCATTATTCTTTTCAATAGAAATAGGACTATATCATTTAGGCTTATTTTCTTCCTGTTGGGCCAAATGGCCTCTGATAGCCTAAACAGTTTCTTGGTATGGAAAGAGCCAGACACTTTATTTTGGGAGTGGACATGGCCTCCTGTCAGTTCCACAATGAGCAGAACTGGTGCTGGATTTCAGCCCTAATTGTCCCCTTAGGGGGGGCACTCTTGTTTAGGGGCAACCATTGATTTACTGTGGCCAGAAAGAGAAGACTCTCAAATCTGGGGAGTAAATCAGATCAACACATGGCCAATCTAAAATGAGGAATATTGTGAGAACATTTGAATTTGGTTTTGGATGGGTTTATTGAACTTATGTTTGAATATGGGTTACACCCAATGATGTTCTGAAATTTGACATCAAAGAGAATGAGGAAACCATGCTGTGAATGAAGACTGAGCTGAGGAGAGGCTGGGAACCTATCCAAGTTTTTCTTCCAGAAATCAACCTTCCTTGGAACAGATCCTAAATTGAAATGATTGGATTTCAAAGCACATTCCTCCTGAAAATGAGATGGACTGAAAGCTAAAACAATCAGGTGGGAGGAGTGTGATATGAAGTACCACATGAAAGCCTTACCTGCCTCCAACTATTTCTACATCATCTACCTCCGTGATCTGAAATTTCCCCCACAGAGCAAAATAAAGATGGTGACTCTGTCATCCCCACTTACCATGTCCCTGATTTTATGTTTCACCCACGTGTACTCCTCACCTTTCCCCAAAGCACATAGAGATCTTTCACATTTCAGGTTGTCTGTTCATGCCACTCACTTCCTGGCCTGGAATTCCCTTCCCTTCCTCTACCTGGAAAACTTCTACTATAGTCAAGTTTCAGGAAACACAAGTCAAGAATAAGGTGGTTAAAAATAAGTGCAAATCTGGAGAGACAAACAAAACTACATATTTAGACTATTCAAATTTGGATAGGATCTCAAAAGTCTAAACTCAAAAAAAGTGTCTGGTATATAGTGTGTTCTCAGGAAATATTAGTGGAATGAATGAAGCAGATAATGCTGTGTACGTGTAAGAGTTTTGATAATTTTTTTGTTGGATTTTAAGGTCTTCTTCTGCAATCTTTTTACTGCAGTTAGGTCCTTTTATATAGCTCCATCCAGAAGCTTTTGAGATGCTGTGTGCAGTGCCTTACCTAAGTGAGACACAGTGATCTGTGGAATCACAGATTATATATGTCACCAGGGGACTGGTGTGCCTGGGATGAGCCCCAGGCACTCATATACCTGACGTGTATTTCTTTCCTCCTGTTGTACTCATTTACTTGAGGGTCTTGTCCTCAGTCTTCTCTCTTGCTCTGGCATTCTAGCTCCTGGCTGGAATTTGGAGCCTGCCCTGAGCCCTGGTACACTTAGTTAGAGCCTGGGCCGACTTGGTTGTGTCTTGCTCATGGCCAGGGGTACGGATCATGTCCTCTTCTATATAAGTTTCTGCTTCCACAGACTAGCACTGGGAATTGAGATGCTCCAGCCCTCTCTGACATGGAACATTCCTGTCCTCCACCATAGTTCAGTAGTCAAGGGCACAGGCCCTGGAATCAGATGGACCTGGGTGAGATTCTAGCTCCTTTATATTTAAATTTAGTCAAGGTTTTCAACATCTCATGTGTAAATTGGAGCTAAGAGTAAATCTTCATATTGTGAGAATTAAATAATAATATAGAAAACACTCAATAGTGTGCACATAGAAATGATTAATATCTCTTTGACTTCTAAGGTTAAGACCACTGGTCCAATACCAGCTGAACACTGGCTACTGGGATGGATACTGGCCTACCTGGATTCTGGTTATTGACCTGTAGAGGTCAGACCTACTGTGAAGTAAGCAATTCTCCTTGTAGTCTCTCTTCTTTTTGTTTCTCTGTTTCCTAGCCAGATCCTAACAAGGAAGGGATGGGAGGAGCACAGAAGCATCTCTCCATCTCATAATTTGCCTCGGCCTTGCTGAGACAAAAAAGATTGATTATTTTAGAACACAGTAATTAAGTAGGCAGAATACAAACTGCCAATAATATCAACAAAGCAATTCATTAAGCAGAGTTGGTGCCCTTGGTTAATAAACCGGCTTTAAACAAAAGTTTGCCATGGGCAAGCCAAAATTTTGCATAATTCATCTAAAGATGAGGGAGAGTTGACTTTATGTGTTTCTAGATACTACTCATAAATGAGCATGGAATAAATACTCTTAGAAATGAATCAGGATATTTCTCTAGAAGCATTTACCCTTAAAATGGTACTTGAATTGTGAGGAAATTGCACTTGTGCTCAACGTATTTCATTGTCTCGTTTCAGTGATGTGGTAAAACAACCATAAATTCCGGAGTCAGAAAGACATGGTTTTGAATTGCACTCTGATAGAAACTTAATATCACTGAACCTTAGTTTTCTCCTCAGTGAAATAGCTTTAGTTTGATCTATTTTTTCAAGATGGCTGTACAGATTAAATATGACAATGTGTTCTAAGTGATTTGTGTCATGGCAGGTCCAGTTTCTACTCTTATCTTTGCCTTCCAAACTTATATGGAAGGCACACTTACATTAAATAAATTTAGGGAAATCACACATCTCCTCATCTGAAAGCTATTCTGCATTTATCCCCACAAGAAAAATCAATGTGCTCGAATATTCTAATATTCTAACATAGGGCTTGCTGACATTCTGATCCATTCTACTTTGGGGCAGTGCAATTCAAGTTTGGGGTGGGGAGGAGGATAAAGGAAGTAAAGTGATTGAACTCATTGACTTGGAGGAACAGGGAAAGGAGGGTTACTGAGCACGTGCTACTATGAGTGACGTTGTTACCACAGACTATCCATTCCACAAATAATCATTGGGTGCCTAGTATAAGTAACGCACTGTTCTCAGTGTTGAGGATACAGCAGTAAACACAACAGGTCGAGTCCCTGGTCTCAAGTTGCTTAAGTGCTAGTGAGGGATACAGAAAATAGGTAACTCAGTAAAATGTACAGTGCTGCTGACAGTGTTCATGATGTTAAGAAAAATAAAGTGAGATAAGAGCGATGAGGAATGCTGGGTGGGTGCGGGATTTCTATCTTATATAGGGTGGGCCAGAGAAGGACTCTGATAAGATGACGTTTGGGCAGGAGTCTGAAGGGAGTGAAAGTGAGTTTGGAGATATTAAGCCTAAGAGCATTCCATGCAGAGAAATAAGTTGCAAAGTCTCTCGAAGGGGGGAATATGGACTTGTTAGAGAATATCAAGAAGATTGGTGTGACTGGAGCAAGAATGAGCCCTTACAGGGGAGATCAGGGAAATGCGGCATGAGTGGGTTGTTGTTCCCAGCAGAGCAGTTTGTAAATGTGTGGGATATTTTCAGTTGTCGGAATGACTGGGATGTAGTACTGTTATAGAATGGATGGAGTTCGGAGATGTTGGGTGTACTGAAATAGGTGGGATGGTCCTACATATGGAAGAATTGTCCTACATCTTGCCCAACTTTCAAATATCTGAATGGGTATATCTACATTATAGGGCTGCCACATACAGTTATGCAGATTGTGGACTGTGGGATTTTTGGAAGCACCACTGACATAGATCTGCTGGGCACGGTGGCCCCATAGGACAATGTTGTGCACAATATGTACAGCTGTAAGGGGCCTGCTTACACCCAGGTAAAAAACTGTTTGTAATTTCCTGAGTCTGCACCCTAACTCCATTTTACACATATACAAAAAGCTTATATTTTGGAGCATTATATAATTCCTGAATATCTTAGGAATGCAACTACTATGTAAGTACATGAAACTTTACCAAGAGTTGTTCACTATTGTATCAGTCAGGTTTCAGTAAGGAGAGTGAAATCATATGGTAATTCAAACAGACCAAATTTAATATGAAGTATTATTAACTATAACATGGAATTAGAATGAGGGATTTGTTGGTAAGAACAGAATTCTAAGAAATGTATGAATGGTGGATATAATGATAAGCACTATCTATGGTTAAGAGAGAACATACAAGGAAGAACCACCCATTCTGGGGGGAGGGGGGATGCTAAGAGTCAGTATTTGTTGAACAACACAATCATGGCTCATTGGGTGGTAAAGAAGTTGCTGTGGTTTTGCACTGGCAGAACTTGCTGGAAATCCTCACTTTGGAACTTGCCAGAAAATCAGGTGCTGGGGAAAGCCTTTCAATGTAAATGTCTCTCTGAGGCATTCTGCTATGAAACCAAATAAGAAGTATGTCTGAGGAACTGTTGTCTGCTGGATGCTGCTGACTGCTGTCCATTGCAGGAGCTAGCTGAAGCCCTGTGGGAGGAAATGGCTTATAGGATCTATCATAGCAGCTGCCAGAATCCTTTTGTCTAAGAAGGGAGAATAAATAACCCAATCTTTTCTCCTCCCACCCTCTTATCTTCTGCAACTGTCTTCTGTTGACCAAACCCAACTGGAAGCCAGCAGGCTAGTAAGTTTGGGTCATTCTGACCCTAGGGGTCAGCTGGCTGAGACAAAGACCAGAGCAGAAAAAGACCTGTAATGGATTTGAATGGGAAGCAAATGGACAATATAGAATTGGGTCAATTAATTCTAAAAAAAAAAAAAAATGACAATTGCCTCAAAGTCCTCTGTTTGATTCATTATTGTATATGAGATAACTCAACAATGAAGCTGACTTATTCTAGAAGACATTTTTGAAAGGTAGTCTCTCTGACTCCACGAAGTCATAAAGAGGATACAATGCGCTGACAGGTCAAGAGAAATTCTGCTATGCTTCTTTCCTGAGCTTTCTCACACTTTCTGGCTCCCAGGGGCTGTGCTCTCCTCCTCTCCCCTCATTACCTTAGAACTTGCACTGTGATAATTTTAATTGGGACCTTTAATATCAGGGTCTATCCAGGTTTTAATCATCTTCCATCTATGTCATCAAAATATTATATTATTCTCACATGGAGATAAACTCATTTGAAGAAGAAATTCCTGCCAAGCCACTCGTGTGTTTTAGCCATTGTTTCTAAGGGAAACAATTTTTCTTTCTTAAATCCCACAAACATCTTTAAGTGTTTCAAGGTTCATCATTTAAAAGTGGGATTAGAACTATTCTATATTCTTAGCTATCTCCAGGGATGGAAAAGGACCAATGAGTAGTAACCATGTGCTTATACTGATCTAAAGCTTTCCAGTTGTGCAAAGATAGAAAAGGCTATCTTGAGAGACAGTGAGGTCCCCCTCATCAGAAGTGTTTGGCTATTAACGTTGGAGGGAAGTTGTAGAGCAGATTTAAGTTTTGGGTGTGTGGTTGACCCTATATCTTTTTCAGATGCCTGCCAACACTGAAACTGTGTAATGCTCTGCAGGTTAAGGTCCTCACAATCATGACAGCACCTTGCCCAGCTGTGGTTTCTGCCCCTGGGTTCAAATGAAATGAAAACTGAAGTTGCAGCTCAGAGAGAGAAGTTGGGATGTGGAGAGGGAAAAGTTAGATGGAGAAAGAAAAGCAAGATGGAATTCATGTTTTATTGTGCATGTGGGGTGGTGTTTACTTATTGCAAACATCATCGAGGGGCTAGGACCAGGTCCTTTTGCTAGAGATCCCCTTGGAGCTGGGGCCGCCTGCCCTCCTGGGTCAATGGGATTGAGTGCTGGCAGTGGAATTCCTACTCATCATGTACCAACAAGGCAGCTTTGCAGCAGTGCCTCTTGTCATCCCCCCTGCCCATTCCAAACATGGTCATCTTCCATCATATTTTGTGGGACATGGTATTAGTTTCCTATTGCTACTAGAACAAGTCACCACAACCTTAGTGGCTTGAAACAAACAATTTTATTCTCTTACCCTTCTGGAGTTCAGAAGTCTGAAATAACTGTACTAAAATCAAGGTGTAGGCAAGGCTGTGTTCTTCCTGGATGCTCTGGTAGAGACTATTTTCTTACCTTTTCCAGCTCCTAGAGGCCGCCTGCATTCCTTGGCTGGTAGCCCCTTCCTCCATCTTCAAAGCCAAATCTCTCTTTCTCTGACTCACACTCCTGTCTCCCTCTTATAAGGGTCCTTGTGATAAAACATTGGGCCTATCTGGAAAAACCATGATAGTTTCCCCATCCCAAGATCCTTACCTTAATCATCTCTGCAAAGTTCATTTTGCCACATAAGGTAACATATTCATAGAGTATAATCTTGAGAGACAGTGAGGTCCCCCTTCACCAGAAGTGTTTGGCCAGTAAGACATGGACATCTTTGGGGGACAGAGACCATTAATCTGCCTACCACAGAAATTGACACCTAAAATTTATACCCAGGTCAAGGAGAGGACTGAGTGGGGGCTGGACTTGTGAATGTTGAAATATTGTCACATGTCCACCAAACAGCAAACTGTTCAGACACACTTTCATTTCAGACGACCCCCTACCCACAGTCATGACACATCCTAGTGAAGTGGACATTTTGGTAGTCATGAATGCTGCTCATGAAATATTTTTAGTCCTCCTATTGGGCACATGGGAGGGTTATTTCTCCCTGCCCCCTTAGAGTTAGATGTGACCACATGATTTGCGATGACCAATGAAATAATAACAGAAGTGACAAGTGTCACTTGCAGGATGAATTTTAAAGGCTGGTATATGATTGACCACATCCTCATTTTTCTGCCAGAGTAAACATGACTGCACACAGATGAACTCTCCCTTCATCTGGGTTCCTGACAGAGAATTAACAGAGTAGAGCTCCCCAGCCGACCCCTAATGGACACACAGCCTGAGTGAGAAATGAACTTTTGAACAACTCAGATTTTGGGATAATTTTTACTGTAGCATACCCTAGGCTGACCTGATACAGGCATCCTTCATAACAAACCAAGTTAGGGT